AGGGGGCTAACTATATGATGTCCAAATAATAATTCACAGTAAAAGGGAAGTAACTGATAATGTATATCCCTCTAGATGCTCATTTCAAACAGTTTCAAACTTTTTTTGAGATTTTCTTCTTTAAAAAGTTTCAAACTGTGCTCTGTAATTTTTTACTTTATGAATCATCCAATAAACAAATAGTGCTACCTGCTCTTTGTAAAGCACTGGAGTGTCAGAAGAATGGTTTGCAGAAACGGATGAAAAGAGCAGGGGAGAAATTAATTGAACTGATTCCAATAATCATTACGATGAATATATATCATCTGTGTCATCTTAGATAAACAGATCATTACACCAGGAGTAATAAGAAAACTGCTTGCGAAGTAAAACTTTAAGACTAATACCTGACTTGCTTGGCAAATATGGAAAAGTTCGGTTCTGTGAGGTCTCCGATTAAAGTCTATACGAGATAATCGACAGAGACAAATCCCGAGAGAGCGAAAATAGAATTATCGACTGTGATTCTGTCTGTGCAAGTGCTTTGTTTTTAGGCGTAAAACTACACAATGGGTTATCTGTCTGACTGACTGGGATTGGCTGACACATTATAATGCACTCAAAAACAAATATGTCAGGCCCTGGAAGCATTGTTATATATGTACTGTTATTTTCGTTTGACTAGTGATCATGAGACTTCTAGTACATAGGTAAATAAGATTTAACATTGCAGCTAGAGCGATTCAGTGATTTTTGTCCTTATCTATAATAACTGATGCGTAGTTTGTTACAAATATCGTTTAACTTTATTGTAAAATATTTGTAATTAAAAAAAAAAATTACCAAGCCAGAATGCTAATACGGTAGTTAAAACTGTATCTACTTTTTGACCTCGTGAAAAACCAACTGAGCTTGCTACAAGTTAGTGGTAGTGTTTAATAGTGCTTTGTTAGCACTATTTTGATTACATACACGTTTTTAAATACATATTTTAATAAAAATATAGTCTCGTATGTCGCAATTCATTTTCTTAATAATGAAATTCCATTATGAGGTTTTTTATTGACAACAATCACAGCTATTTGTCGTGTTTCATCACTTATTTTGCATGGTTTTCACAAAGATCCTGGACCAGGTGCGCGAATTTTGCCAAAGTAACACTGGTTCGAGGCTACTAGCTTTTTAAAAGGTTTTGTTTGTTTGGAATTAAGCACAAAGCTACACAATGGGCTATCAGTGCTCTGCCCACGACGGGTATCAAAACCCGGTTTCTAACGTTGTAACTCCACAGACATACAGCTGTGCCACTGGAGGATTTTTTAGAAGGTTGCGGGATCACTTTTAACAATACGATTTCATTCGTGACGAATATTTGATTCTGGTTAAGAACAGTTGTAACGTTACTACCAGGATTCTTAATAAAAGAAATATTAATTTAAACCATCATAATACAGAGTATATTCACAATCAGAAATCATGCTCGGCCTGATCTTTTACAAACTGCAAATCGGAACCTTCAAAAACTTAACAAAATAATCTTGTCTGAAGAATATAATCTTGGCACAAGAAAAGTTAGGAAAAAGAACCAGAAAGAAAAACCTAACTCCTTAAGTTATTTCAAAATATTCTGCTTAACAACACTTACAAGTATTTAATTCTAACTGTCAGTAATCTAAACAAGTAATCAGGACAGTATTTAGATCTCTAATCTCTTGACGTCTGACTATTTTACTAATTTCTTTTATAATTAAATTAATGGGTGTTATTTCCGAATGTATCATTTTTGGAGTCACATCTCAAATACTTCGGATTTTAATAAGGCATTCTTTCACACACTAGGCTGAATAATTATCCTTTTCCGAACCACTGAATAACAAACTTTACTGATATTTGATTGGTTTATATAACCACATGATGTATCAAAACAAATAAAAGTCCATAACATTCAGTAGAAGGGTGATTTAGACAGCATCTATGGTGAATTAAGACGTTATGCCAGATATAATGTCGAAAAACAGTTCTTGATGAAAATGAAGTCACAGATTACCTAAACTATGACACTCTTCGGGACTGAAAACACGAAAAACCTGACCATTTTTGGATTAAAAATCAGAAAACCTCAAACTCTAATCTTTCGGATATATTGATCTATATATGGAATGATTCTATATAATTAAACTGCCTAAAAACCCATTGGTGAGGAAAGATAATTTTATAGTGTCTATAAATGTGAATTCCAATGCATTTTAGAAATAACATACAGTAACAAAAATTAGAAATCAGGAGCATACAAAACACTGAAAGAACGATTTATTTACGATAACCCATCACACTAGAAAAGGTCATACGATAAAATGAAAAAAAAAAGAACAATAAGATATGATCACACACGAGAAAGAAAAAAAGACAATAAACTGATAACACCCCCAGTCGATCCAGTATAAAAGTTACAAAAACCTAGAAATCCCCCTTGAAAATATCTATATAGTTAACAGACTCAAATTATAATGGAGAAACACCCAAGTGAGAGGATAGCGTACCAGATTCCCGACAGGAAGACCTAGAACCCAACCACTTCCAACACAGAAATAGTCCTTCCCAGGACCTTCCTGAAGACGACAGCAGATTAGCAGCCGAAACGTAGGATAAAACTGGTTGGTAAGTTATGTATTTGGTTTAGCGCAAAGCCACACTTAGGGCTATTTTGCAAATTTTAGTGTTGTGAATTCGTACACTTACCGCTGACTAACTAGAAGACTAAGTATGTATATACCTGTTACTAAATGATAAGTAAAGTGAAATGATCCTATTTACTACTAACCATAACAATGATATAATATTTTGAATTTCTTCGAGAAACTGAGATTACAATGAAACTCAAAGGACATCGCAAAATAAACGATATATAAAAATATAAACTTAATGATAATAGTAATTAGCAAAACAGAAGGAATACAACCTCACACACTTCGTAAATTATTATTAATTGTCTTACTAGAACTTTCTTTTACAAACAAATAGTTTGTTTTTGGCTATAATTTTATTAAAAATATTTTGTCAAATATTCTCTACATCCGTCTTTTAAAAGAGAATGCTAAAATATAGTAGCCTCGAACCAGTATTATATTGGCAACAGAGATTGGGTTTCTCGTTTCTTCTGATGGTGTCAATACAGCAACGGAGTTCGATTAAGGTTCGAAGTCCATGCTACAAATATAATGTCGCACAGTTAAGGCAGCTGTATGACTCGAATGTTGGACTTAGATTGACTCATAAAGTATTATTGATATATATAATGTGTATAAAATAAGGTTATAGCAGTTGAATTACACTAGTTATTATTTTAAGTAGTAATATATAATTTGTGACGTTGTATTTTTTAATCTGTTAGTCTAAGTTAAATTAACACTAACAGATAAGCTACTTATCTGTTAAGCTTTATTAAAACTAACTAAAACATCAGACCCACGTTAAATGTAGTTATTCATAATCATATATAACATAATTCAAATTATGAAAACATCACATCATGAAGCGTAGTGAGCCTAATAGTTTGTGTGTGTAACAAATAAAATTTTTTGTTGAAAAATATACAAAACTTGTATGTGTCTCTTTCAATTTAACGTTTTTAATCTTTCCCTTCCACCACTTAAGTAGATCAAACTACACAGTACATTGACTATAGATTCATGTTCTTATATTCTTTACTAAAGGATAACTTTAATCTTCTTCAGGACCAAGATGTTGATAATCTTCATCAATATGATACTAATAATGGCTGGAGACGGCTTAAATGGGTAATGA